TCATTGTATTACTTATTATTACTTTATTGATTGCAGCGAAATCTTTCATTATTTGATTTCTAGTTAGTAACTTCTATTTTTTTTCTTTCTTCTTCTTCGTTTCGGACCGAAAACAGAAGGGTTGATTAAATAAAAAATCCAAAGGGAGGTTCATGGCCAAGGGTAAAGATGTCCGAGTAACGGTAATTTTGGAATGTACCAGTTGTGTCCGAAACGGCGTTAATGTTAATAAGGCATCAACGGGCATTTCCAGATATATTACTCAAAAGAATCGACACAATACGCCTAATCGATTGGAATTGCGAAAATTCTGTCCCTATTGTCACAAACATACGATTCATGGGGAGATAAAGAAATAAATCGAACCGAGCATCTGTGTGTCACTCTTCAAAGGAAGGGGAAAAATGACATTATATATTATATATACATAACATATTGAAATATAAACAAACCAAATCCTATTTCTTAATTCTAATTCATTTTAGATCCGACCGAAATAGGATATTCGGGATAAGGAATAAACTAAACAAACCATGGATAAATCCAAGCGACCTTTTCTTAAATCCAAGCGATCTTTTCGTAGGCGTTTGCCCCCGATCCAATCGGGGGATCGAATTGATTATAGAAACATGAGTTTAATTAGTCGATTTATTAGTGAACAAGGAAAAATATTATCTAGACGAGTGAATAGATTAACCTTGAAACAACAACGATTAATTACTATTGCTATAAAACAAGCTCGTATTTTATCTTCGTTACCTTTTCTTAATAATGAGAAACAATTTGAAAGAACCGAGTCGACCGCTAGAACTACCGGTCTTAAAACCAGAAATAAATAGGCTTACTCTTTCTTCAATTGAGTTCAAATTCAATTCCAATCCGAACCTCAAAAGCGGATTGATGTTTTGTTCGAAAAATATGCGAATCCAGATTTGATTGTCGTGTCGTAAGAAAAAAAAGAATCGGGAAAAAAGAATAAATCTTTTTTTATTGAACGTGTTCATTCATTTTGACTACTTTATCATATTTTATCATATTCATTTCTACTCTACCTCCCGGAGTTCATTCTCCGGGGAACTCTGTTTAAACTATTCCGGTGAATTCCGCCCAATCTACTTATTTTATGATCTCATTGGAAATCATATAAAGACAATTCCTATTTAATATAGCGACTTGTGCAAGTATTTTACGATTAAGAAGCAACTGTCTCTTGTACAGATCGTGTATTAATCTACTATAACTATAAGAGACCCCCCCTTCACGAATTCCTGCGTTTATCCGAGTGATCCACAAACGACGAAAATTTCTCTTTTGCCTATCTCTATCCCTATTAGCCGAAACCAAAGCTTTTATTTTCTGTTGAGTAATAGTTCGAGTAAGTCTTGAATGAGCCCCCCGAAAGCTTGATGCAAATAAACGAATTTTTGTTCTACGTCTCCGAGCTATATATCCTCGCTTAATTCTGGTCATTGAATAATTGAAACTTTGACGAATAACTAATTGATTTCCTTTCTTTCAGTTATTCTTTTCCCCCTTCCTAGCCTATTAATAACAAAACGGATTTTTCCAATGTATAAAATAAAAATTCCAATGGCTTTGGCTACTATAACCTTCCCGACCACGATTTTTTCTAGGCATTTCACCTAGAAATAATCAATTGTATTCTCCTAGGTATCAAAAATATAGTAAATAAATAAAGTAGTAAATATAAATGGATAAAGAAATAGTGGGTTCCATCGTTTCTATGGTTACTTCTTAAACGGTGAGGCCTTCTCTATACACCGGAGCCCCTTACTTGATTTAATCAATGTTATTGGTAACTTGTACAGTTCACACTCTTTGGCTCTACCCATGAATTATCCAGTACTAGGTCTTTCACAATGAGATCTACCTATACAGTAACGGTATTTAATTATAAAAGTTAGCGGGGTAGCTGACCCTGTGAGTCCGTTCTTGCAAGAGTGGGAACCTAATCTTTCTGTTTTTTAAATTTTAAATAGGATTTTCCCCGCTTAATGAATAACCATTTGTTACCAATGGGGAATTGCTTTTCATTTAAAATAGAGGTGATTGGATTTGCACCAACGGAAACCATAAATTTCATACACAATAGAGGGATACGATAGATTTTTTATTTTTAGATAGCGAATGGAGTTCTTACAGTCTATCCTATTCATCGGTACTGATCGTTGTTACTGGAAAATTGGTTTTCTTTCCTTTGTCCCAGCCCATGATCTGAACGAGTCGCACATACACCCTAGTACATGTTCCTCGACGCTGAGGGCATCCCCGAAGAGCGGGGGATTTTGTGACATTTCTGATTGGCTGTCTTGTATTTCTAATAAGTTGTTTAATGGTTGGCATGTTGAATCATATACATAATGGGCTGGTTTAGATCGATCCTAACCGGATGATTATGAATTACTTCTTTTGAATAGAATATTAAACCCGGCAAGAAAATCAAATCTTAAATCGCGGATTTGTGTGAAATCCGTGCTAT